CTTCTTCCTGCATGACGCTGTTTGCAGGCCTGCAAGCCCTGAACGCAACACCCCCCTCGCAACTCTCGACCTCGCCCATCCCCACCCCCACTCCCCTCCCCCCCCTCCCGGCACACCCCTAAAAAAAAGTCCAACCTTCAAAGTTTTATTGCGGAATCCGACAGACCTCGGCAAGCGCAGTCGGATCCCGCTAAAAAAAAATAAAAATAAAAAAAATTGGCCGTTTTTTTGGGCCATCCGGTTTGCCGGTTGACCCCCCCTGGGCCGGTCCGGACCCGGTTGGACTGGGTCAGCCCGACCGGCCGGTCGCCAGCCCAGCCCTGCTTTTTAACCACCGCTACCTTTCCCATATGTCGGCCGCGGGCATCTAGTAGCCTACTCCTGAAAAATAGCCGCCACGTCGACGCCAATATTTTTCATCGATGGCGCGTGGCGTCCGAATTTGAATTTGAGGCCCGCCGCCCCACATATGAGAAAGGTAGCGGCGGTTTAAAAAGCAAACGAAAACAATGCAGGCGGCCAGAGCTCGACTTGAAATTTCAGCGGTTACATTTCCACACCTTAAACGCCAGTACATGGCTGCAGCCTTGTGGAAATTTGTTCATCGTCTACTCCAAATTTTGCGTCTACTCCAAATTTTTCGGTGCTTGGAGCTAAAGGACCACAACGGCTGGCAGCGCCAGCCAAAAAAGAAAAAAGTGCGCCGCTGGCGATTCCGCAAAGCTTGGTGCACAGTGCAGTGCCTCCATACCCAGGTGTACTGGTGGTCTAAAATTCTGCCATGCACACCACCTCTGCAAACCCTGGTTTCACCCAATTAACCCCCCCTCAACCCCCCCTCAACCCCCCTTTTAACCCCCCTTCAACCCCCTTATACCCATCAGAAATGTGAACGTCTACCATGTACAGCACCACACAAACCTACCTGCTCACTCTCCCACCATGCCTCCCAGCTTCGATCATCCTTCTTCTCAGCTCCAGCACTTCGGAACAACCACTTGACAAACTCAGAGCCGTCCTCCCCGTTTCTGCATGCCAGAAGATAGAAGGACGGATCACACATTCGAGATGGACAATTGCTTCATTTAGTATCATACAAGTGGGACCCCAGAGGTTACGCCTGCAGGAAACACCCCTTCGTCCTCTTGACCATTCCCTACCCAAAAACAGCAGTGTATCTTCCCATGTCCCAACGGGAGAGTCATTACTTTGCACACAGCAGTGGTGCATCTTCTCATATTCTGATGGGAGATTCATCACATTTTGCACATCAGGCTACCTCTATTAAAAAAAAAAAAACAGCCGTGTACCTTCCCCTGTGCTACCAAAAAAGGGGGGAAAACAAAACCTTCCCAAGAGGGAGAAAGAAACAGCGGTGCATCTTCCCGCGTTCTCGAAGGAGATTCATTCTCATTTTGCACATTTGGTGAGTGCTGGATCCAGGGCCCAACGTACCCTTGTTTTTTTTTTGTTTTTTTTTTTTTTTATCGGAAACAAGGCTCCAATCTATTCGTGGGGAGCAGCACGTGCTGGGAACCGGGCCCAGCGTCCCATATGAAGATTTACATATGATTTGAGGATTGAGATACCGGGGCCATTACCCGGCTTTGGCTCAGAGAAAAACGAGGCTACTTAGAAAATGACTATGACCAACTTCGGAGTATAACCGGAATTCAGAAAACTGCTCAGAAAACCTCCCCATCCATCCACTTTACCTTACTCCGGCAAGACTTACTGTCAGCAGAGCCACCATCTCCGCTGCTGCTATGCCCTATTCCCATCCTACCAGCTAGCCCCCTCACTAGTAGGACATGTGATATCCCACCATCTCCTTCCCCACTCCCCCTTTTTTTTTTTCCTTTTTTTTTTCCAGAAGCTTCAAGAATAGGCAAAATTCATAAAACAGCTCAGAGACAACTCAGAGACCTCCCCCCATCATATCCTCTTAACCTTACTCCGGCAAGACTTACTGCAGCGGAGCCACCATCTCCACTGCAGCTGTGCCCTATTTCCATCCTACAAGCTAGCCCCCTCACTAGTAGGACGCTTGATAACCAACCACTTATTCATCCCACTCATCCCACTCAACCTCTTTTTGGAAAATATCCCCACAGAACAATCCTGCCTCCATCATCGAAGGGAAGAAACGCAGACTGATCCGGGTGAAGTTAGCGAGCAGTGGCTGGTACCCGCCAAAATTTCAGCGCCAATCGCATCCACTACCAACTTCCTCCTTCCCAATCACCTCCGTCCTTCCCAACTCCGTCGTCGTGAAGAACTTCAGAGAACCTCTTCTCCGCGGGGGCCGAGCAGGGCCCTGCTGCCCCCAAGTACACAAGCCGGGCTTACCAGTACCTCCGAGCCTGTTTTTGCCGACCCTGAATTTCACTGCGCTCCGAGTTTGCCGAGCCTGGCTCCCACTCCATTTCTTTATGGTACTCTCACGGGGAGAAAAAAAAAAAGAATAAAAAAAAGAAAAGTTGCCGCCGTGAAACTCACAAAAAAAGAAAAGGAAACAATGCTCTGGCCGTGATTGCAGTTGTATACATTTTTGGAAGTGGTAGTGTGAGGGTGCCCTCAGTGAGGGCATCTCAGCCCCGTGCCCAGGTTGTCAGATTCCAAAAACACACACGCACAAAAAAAAAAAAACAGAGAAGGATTCGGCCGTGAAAATGGCTGGATATGCTCCTCTAAGTGCCAGTGTGATGAGGGTTACAATCCTCTGAGGGAACACAGCTCGAGCAGATCACTGATTCAGATTGTCAGATTCCAGAAACGGAAAAATTGAAAAAACGAACGGTAACATGGATTTGGCCGTGAAAATGACTGGATACATCAGGGTTACAATCCTCAGAGGAAACACAGCGAGAGCAAATCACAGAATCCCCCCTGCCTCGTTGGCAGGGGACTCGTAACAAACAAACCAGAAATAAAAAAAAGCAAACAACAAGTTTCAGAATGTGATACCCTCACCATTAGGGGGAAGGGGCAACATGAAATCTCCCCTTCACAGAGAGAGGAAACTATGCTTGCAGGGGTCCCCTCTAGATAGTCTTAGGAGTAGGTAGTGGAAGGTCAAGAAACAGAAGTTGAGAGAAGAATATAGAAAGAAGAAGAAAAAAAAAAGAATGTGACCGTATTTGCTGTAGGATGCATTCTGTAGAGGAAGACTGAGCACGGCCTCCTAGACTATCCTGCCTGACATCATTGCAGTACAGAAGCTTTTTTTTTTTTCTCTTTTCCTTTCACGGGCGGGCAAAAGAAAACTAAGATTTATGGGACTCACCGACCCGGGGTCCCACCACCGATATCTTCAGGGATAGACCAGTACATTGTAATTTCCCAAAAAAAAAAAAAAAAAAAAGAATCACAGTGTGAGCATGCCTTGACCCCGGCAAGAGGCTACCACCCCCCCACAAAAAAAAAAGCGGTGTACCTTCCCACGTACAAACAAAAAGGCAAACAAAAAAAATAGCGGTGCATCTTCCCAGTGCGAGGCTCAAGGCCTCGATACGCCCTACTGGGCCCTCTCTTCAGTACAGTCGGCCACCCTAAGTGAAGGCAGGCTCGACCGAGGCCTACAGGCCCATTTTTGGGGTCACCACGCAACTGAGGAAATTCAGGCAGTTGCGCAGCGCCAGTTGGTTGGGAGCGCCCAGGCCCAGGCTGCCTTTTTCGCATGTAACTGAGGCAGGCCCTGGGCCAGATACACAGCATGGACCGAACCCAGGCCATGGGCAGTTGGATATGGGCAACCACCACAGGCCCTGGGCCTGATTCGTTTGGACTGGGGCTCAGCCTCTCTGGGCCTACCGGAAGCTTCTGGGCAGGGGCCCAGCGCAGTCAGGCTTCACGCAGCAGGCAGGCCACATCCATTTAGGAAAGTGCCTGCCCACGCATTCGGGCACCGGCTGCATGCTGCGTGAGCGCTGCTGCCCTAATCGCTGACCAGGCCCATGCGCTCACGGGCGAGCAGGGAGAGCAGGCAGCCATAGCCGAGCTGCACTGCTGTACAGCTGGATGGGGCGCATGGTGGTCCTTGGGTGCACGTGGTATCTGTGAGTGGGGGATCGAGGTTGCGAGTGATACGAGAGACATACCTGGTGCTTGAGGCGAACGGCATTGGCCGAGATCTGCTCGTACTTCAGGGAGCTGTTGACGTCACCAGTGGCATTGTAGATAGGCTAGATAGGATCTGCCACTTGTAGTCTGGGCGCAGAGCGCCAGATAGGATGTCGACATTGGTTCTTTGTTGATGATGATGGAGACTATTCCAACATTGTCACTTATGAGCTTTTGCTGTGCTCTTATTTGGTGGAACTCGTGTTGCAATTCTGCTTTTGGTTCGAGGTCACGACTATCTGGTCTCATGTGTATGATGCCGCTTGGTTTCTGAAGTTCGCTATCGCTCATTTTAGTTGCACCAGTTTTTCACGTGCAACATTCATCCTCATTTTGCACACTCGGTGAGTGCTGGAGCCAAGACCCAACGGGTTACACAAAGAAGTAAAAAAAAACAGCGGTGCATCTTCCCAGTTTCTAGTGAGAGATTCATAATCATTTTGCACATCTGGTGAGTGCTGGAGCCCACTGCTATACACAGGCTGACAACAAAGCGGTTCCATATCCCTACGACGCACTGGTGTGTAGTTGTATTCGGACGTGACTCCTGAGAGGACAGCAAAGCAGTTCCATATCCTTCAATTTTTGTCTTTTCTTTTTGGTTTCTGCTGACAGCAAAGCAGTTCCGTATATTTTGTCTTTTGTGCTCACTGCAAAGCAGTTCTGTACCATTTAGTTTTTGTCTTTGGGGATTCAAACGTGCTACTATGGGCCTCGCTGCACTACTCTCCGCATGCACAAAAGACAATAAATATGGCGGTGTATCTTTCCATGTTCTATTGTACATCTGATGAGTAGTGCAGCGAGGCCCTATGTACTTGTATTCGGACATCAGTGCGTTGCGTCACGTCACTTCGCTCCGTCCCAGCCAGTCCCTCCCTCGGGCCGCCTTCCCTCCCTCGGACCACCCCTTGGTTGCTTTTTGTTGGGCCAGGTCCTACCGTTACGGTTGGACCGTTGTAGTTTTAAAGAGTACAGAGAAATAAATCAAAATAATTAAGACTTTAGTACACTTTTTTCTTTTTAAAGACCGGCATACTCGCCCATGCTTCTGCATGCAATTGGAAATAAACTGACATACGTTTAAGAATTTGTGAGGCCAGCACCTCCTCACAAATTCTCCCCTTGCCTTACAAAATGGTGTCCAAAGCACTCACTAGTCAGCTGCTCCCCCATATGAAACACCTGATCTTCCAGGATCAGACAGGGTTTATGCCCCAACGCAACATCCACGCATATGAAACACCTGATCTTCCAAGATCAAACAGGGTTTATGCCCCAACGCAACATCCAGGATAACATGCTCCTTGTAAATGAGACTATAAAATATGCCAGGCAGCACCAAAGAGAGGCCACTATTCTGTTCATAGACTTCGAGAAGACCTGTGACCACGTGGACTGGGACGTCATGGATGCCTGCCTGCAGAAAACGAACTTCGGCGCCTGCTTCAGAGCATTGGTGTCCACCATGCACAGGTCAGCCACGACGAACATCATGGTCAATGGCCACCTCTCCCCCCCGTTCGCCCTTCAAAGATCGGTAAAGCAAGGGGACTTGGTGGCCCCTCTTCTCTTTGTGCTGGTCATGGAAGCGTTGGCCACAATGATCCCGGCCAATCTGGACATTGGACGCATCCACATTCCGGAATTACCCCCGCAGTTAGTGCCTGTGACATCCTTATTGGCCGATGATCTGACTGTCCTCATCATGCCCTCGGAGACATCCTTTAGAGCACTGACGGACACAATCCATACCTTTGCCGTGGCAGCAGATATGAAGGTCGACTGGGGGGCCAAGACGGAGGGCTGGTAGCTCTCTCCGAAAGACACCCAAACCCCGCAAGACCCGCCTGTCAATTGGAGAAGGCGTGAGGAGTAATCGGGATCATAGGACTCCACCTACCAC